GATAGTCATTGCTGGACTACCTGGATGGCATCCTGTAGGCTAGTCTAATAAAATCTCCGTTTAATACCTCCCTGCATTACTAGGAAAGTCAGTGTCTTGAGGGGAGAGCTCTTGCTCCTTAGGTCCCAGTGCAAAGTCTTCACTTTCAACCAAAGATCATGAATGAAAGAACAAGCAGGACTATGAGCAACTGGGAAAAACCTAAGTCCATGAAAGGCCAAGGTTAGAGATGGAGGAAGAGGTGGAGGACTAAGAGACGGGGAGAATCAAGGACACACCAGTGCTGTGGGATGATCTGTATGGCAAGTGTGTTGCTGATTAGTCAATAAATAAAACACTGATTGGCCATTGGCTAGGCAGGAAGTGTAGGCGGGACAAGGAGGAGAATAAAGCTGGGAAGTGGAAGGCTGAGTCAGAGAGACACTGCCAGCCGCCACGATGACAAACAGCATGTGAAGATGCCGGTAAGCCACGAGCCATGTGGCAAGGTATAGATTTGTGGAAATGGATTAATTTAAGATAAAAGAACAGTTAGCAAGAAGCCTGCCACGGCCATACAGTTTGTAACCAATATAAGTCTCTGTGTTTACTTGGTCGGGTCTGAGTGGCTGTGGGACTGGCAGGTGAGAGAGATTTGTCCTGACTGTGGACCAGGCAGGAAAACTCCAGCTACACACCAGGACTGAGAAGACGCCTTGGTGTCTAAGAGCACACATACTCTTGCAGTTTCCCAGCGCCCACATCAGGAGGTGGCTCAGCATCTGTCCCTCCAGCTCTAGGGAAGCTGATGGGGTCCTCCTCTGGCTCCTGTGAGCACTGCACTCAAATTAAAAATAAAATAGAACTTTTAAAAAGTGGAAGTACCATGGCAAGATCAAAAGCAGGGCTACCGCAGGGGTGGGGCGGGGGGGGGGGTGCTGTATTCTGAAGGGAAGAGGAAATAATGACGGGGGAAGATGAAGTGAACCAGGGAAAGGGATCAAGGTAAAGGAGATTTCGAAGTCAGTCTCCAAGAAGAGAGTGCGAACAAGTACTTTATCACTGAATTCTTCTGTGCATTCAGTGGGGCTTCTGACAGGACTGTCTCAATACATAACTGTCTCCCAGCAAACAGATAACTGAGGCAGAAAATCCTGTTTGTGCCAGAAAGCAAAATCCTGCTTGTGCCACATCCATATTGTCAACTCTGACGAGAGAAGGAAGGACAATGAGTCAAGAGCATTTCAAGATTCTGACTGCATTAAAAAACAGGGCACATACCCCTAAAAAAAGAAATTCCACTGGGGAGTCTGATAGATTACAAAGTGTTTATAAAGGGTATAATTGAGAAATATATAAATAGACCTTTCAGAAGGGTGGGAAAGTTAGCTGGGGGGAGGGGAGAAAACACAGTGGACATCTTACAGGAACAATATAAGAGTATTAAAATTCCGCCAAGACAGACAGACATGTTAAATATACAATGTGAGGATAAAAGTGGTCTGACAGTTCCTTGAAACGGGATGGGGGCTCAAAAAGAGGAACAGTTACCATAAATTCAAAATCACCCAAGAGTGTGGTGCCCCAGGAGCTGGGCCAATGCTCACCAGGGCCACTCCCTGAACCTCTAGGACAAAGGGTCACTCCCCATTCCGCCTCACATTCTAGGTGGTCTTTAGAGTGGCCTTCTCTTCCTCTCTCATGGTCAGGAGCTGTGATCCCCACGACAGCAGTTTCATGGGTGTACAGAGAGCAGTAGCCTCAGTACTACTAGGGGTCAGGGATGAGGGGAAGCGGGGGTGGGGGTGGGGAGGTGGGGGGTGTTACTGAGAGGATGGCCAGGAGGCCAGGCTGGAAGAAGGCAGCAGGTAGGCTGCTCCAGCTGACATTTCCAGAAGCCCTGCAGGCGATTTTTGTTTTTGAGATAGGAGCTTGACAGGTAGCCCAGGCTAGCCTTGAACATAATCCTCCTGCCTTAGTCTCTCACATGCTGGAACTACCAGGTGTGCACCACTATGCCCAACTCTAGGCTAAACTTCCTCCATGTGAGCTAATTCCTCCAACAATGGGCTATGGGCAGCAGCAAGGGTGACACCTGGGAGTGGCTGAACTTCAGATGTTCAGGTCCTGTACCAGACCTGCTGGATCAACATGGGTGTGTGACAAGATCCCCCAGGGAGGCGTGTGTGTGTGTGTGTGTGTGTGTGTGTGTGTGTGTGTGTGTGTGTGTATTTGCACTAACCCATCCTGTCATACTGCTGGGAACAACTGTGAGTCCGTATCTCTTCGGGGCCTGCAATTTAACCAAACTGGGCTCCCAAGCATACAACCTTGGAGGCAACCTACTATCAAAAGCGACTCTCTGGTTCCTCAAATTCAAAGGGCCTTCTCAGAGTAAGATCACCACTGCTCCTCATCATGTGTAGGGGCTACTCATCATATTTATGTTGATTATACAATGTAATGATAGCATTTTGAGTGTACGGAGTTAAAAAATATTTTATTAAAATTAATCTCAGCTAATTTTTTTTTTTTAGAACTGTGTTTTGTTTTGTTTTTATTTATTATATATACAGGGTTCTGCCAGCATTTATGCCTGTACGCCAGAAGAGGGCACCAGATCTCACTATAAATGGTTGTGAGCCACACTACATGGTTGCTGGGAACTGAACTCAGATTCTCTGGAAGAGCAGCCAGGGCTCTTAACCTCTGAGCCATCTCTCCAGCCCTCTTCTAATTTTTAAAATGTGGCTCGAGCAAACCTAAGATGACATGTATCGCTCATGCTATGTCACTATTGGACAGTGACTGGAGAACAGGCCCGTGGCCCCTGTATTAGAGAGGATGCTCCCTCAGGATAAGCGTCTTTGTTCTGTCCTAAACCTCAAGAACCTAGAGATGCTCAGAGCATGGCTGCTTCCTCCAAGAGGCTCTGGGTAACTGTGTGGTGCTGCCCTAGGCACTTGGGTAACTGTGTGGTCCTGTCCCTAGGCACCTGGGTAACTGTGTGGTCCTGTCCCTAGGCACCTGGGTAACTGTGTGGTCCTGTCCCTAGGCACCTGGGTAACTGTGTGGTCCTGTCCCTAGGCACCTGGGTAATCGTGTGGTCCTGTCCCTAGGCACCTGGGTAATTGTGTGGTCCTGTCCCTAGGCACCTGGGTAATCGTGTGGTCCTGCTCTAGGCACCAGGGTAATTGTGTGGTCCTGTCCCTAGGCACCTGGTTAAGCTGTCAAATCCAACTTCCTGAACAGTAGGAACCAAGAAGGTTCACAAATTATCTCAGTTTTATGTAGGCCAGTCTAGCTTTGAACTTGGAGAGATCTACCTGTACCTGCCTCCAGAGTGCTGAGATTCAAGGCATGTGACACCACTGATTATGCCCAGTTCACATGATTTCCCTGCACTCCCAACGTACCCCAGTCTTCCTTAATATGGATCCCAGAAAACAAGGGCTAACCCAGGCTGCAAAGCTTGGAACTCACATCCGATTTCTGCAGAAGCCAAGGTCCAGAGGTTTCAAGTCACACATTAGATCGGCAAAAGCTGGGATCGGGACTCTGGACTGTGACTCACAACTCAGCACTTCTTCTCCGCGCTCAGCTCCAAACAGGAAGCCAGAGAGGGGAACAGGGTCGTTTTTTTGTTCAAGGGCCTCAATTCCAAGTTTAGGCTTTGTGATCAGCTGGTATAGGGAGAGCATGGCTCCAGGATGGCTTTGGACAAGCTTATCCCGAGACTCTGACCAGGAGCCACTTTCTGTCTGGAATGTCCCCGCCACAGGCACTTGAGGGTCATTAAAATGACCGAGTCAGCTAGTTAAGAGAATTTAAGGAGAGCATCCAAACTATGCACACTCGGCTCTGTGGAACTTGTGTGCCCTGCTACTGCGTAGGGGAACAGGGGGAAGAGGCCAAGGAGTGGCCCCTAGCCCAGGTGCACCTCATCCCTTCGAGAGCCTTCCAAGGCCACCTTCACCATTTATCTATATTGCTCACACACAGTGTCTCCTGCAAATGAGGGTAGGAGAACAGTCTTCTGAAGACAGGAAAAGAAGGTTTGGCGGCATGGTTTACCGGCTCCCAGAATGTCCAGGGAAGCATGTCTTTACGTCTGAGGGTCTGGCAGACCCCTTCGTCCTCCCAGACATCAGACCTTGAGTATCTGCCAACGGCCTGACATGGAATGTTCGACCCAGGAGAGCAGCTTCAGCCTGCCAGGGAGACACCAGTGACAAAAACCCCAGCATCATTTAGAGTCCCATGTTTCTCCCAGACACTGATATGTTAGTCGAAATCATTTTGACCACAGAAGTAGGGAAAAAGGCAACGGATCACGATTACTTAACAGACAGTATCTCTTTCTGAATTACATATATTTTTTATAGTGAGGCACTATTATTCCATGGTGATGCTAATGATGACAGATTCTTTCTATTCATTCCCCAAACACTTGATATTGACCAGTGAAGAGGATGCTCCAGATGCTGGAGAAATAGTAACAGACAAGATGACGACCCTGTGTGTCTCAGAGCTGTGTCATGGGTGCTGAGAGGGTGACAACCCCAAAAGAAAACCTGTGAGGGAGGGGACAGGAAGGAGAGTTGGCGGTTGGGGGGTTTGGGCAGAGGCCTCAAGAACATGAGTGCCATCTGGGTGAAAGACCAGGGCAAGAGCTCTTCTTGTTTGGGCAAGGAACAAGGTGACATCCCCAAGGTCTTGTCTAGGAAGAGAAAGGCGTGGCCACAGTGCAGGGACAGGGGAGGAGAGTGAGAGATGGGCTTGTGCCGGCTCGGCCGTCCCTTGGTAATGTCACCATTAAGAGCCTGGTTTCGGTCTCGGTGTGATGGAAGTCATGGCAAGGCTGGAACGTGAGCCTGGACGTGAGTGTGTGGCCCACAGCCCAGGCTGTGTGTGGCTTCTCTTATAAACCCCTCCACCTTTGAGAGAGGGCGGAAATGCCGCAGCAGACCCTGGGAACGGCAGCTCGGCTCTGCCGCGGAGGAGCTGCCCCTGGGACTCACCTTCCACAGTCAGCTCCACTGTCACCTGGCGGGCACCACTGCCGTTGCTGGCTTCACAGGTATACTTTCCGCTGTCCTCCTCACGCACAGTGTGGATCACCAGGCTGAAAGTCCCCCGCACCCCACAGTCCAGCAGGAAGCGGCCCCCGTTGGTGATGGTTTGCCCATTTCTGTGCCATGTCACCTGGGGCTCTGGGTAGCCCCGGACCTACAAGAAAAAGAAACCGTAAAGGCTTCTGTTCCACACACGCTGTGGGCCCTCGGGTTCAGAGTTCACGGTTCCTATGCATTACACCCTGGGGTTGCAAGGACAGTACAAAATAAATAAAAGATCTCAATGTTTTGAGCACTGCGACACACACTTTAATTATAGCACTTGGGAGGTGGATGCAGGAAGATTGGGAGTTCAAGGTGATCCCCAGCCACATAGGAAGTTCAACTGTGGGCTGTATGAGACCCTATATGAATCCCTCTCCATCCAAAACAAATAAACTGGGCAGTGGTGGCGCACGCCTTTAATCCCAGCACTCGGGATGCAGAGGCAGGTAGATCTCTGTGAGTTCAAGGCCAGCCTGGGCTACAGAGTGATTTCCAGGAAAGGCACAAAGCTACACAGAGAAAAGCTGTCTTGAAACGCCAAAAAAAAAAAAAAAAAAAAAAAAAAAAAAAAAAAGCCCCAAAACACTAAATCCCTCAATATTAAAATATATTGATTACATGCTAGGAAAGTCATATGTTTTATATTTTGTCAATAAATCATTAAGAGGCATCAAGATGAATTCCAACCTGTTTCTCTCCACAGTTTTCCTGTAGCTACTGGAAACGACACCCCCACCCGTACCCCCAAACATGCCTCCCTTGGCATTCTCAGGTCAGCTCTGCACCAGCTCTCTGCCTCCGGCAATAGTTACAACTGTCTGTGAGTGCTACATGTTCAGTACTTTTCCAAGTACTCGACTCACCTGAGCCTCAGAGCCCCTTATTCAGCTAGCACGGCTTTCAAAAAAGGGAGAAAAGAGGAGATAAATTCCAATCTAAGAATTATCTTTGAGGGGTCAGAAAGACGGCTCAGCAGTAAAAAGCACGTGTTGCTCTTGTAGAGGACACAGATTTGGTTCCCAGCCACGTGAGGAGACCTCTCCCATGTCAGAAACTGAAACTCATTGGACCCCTCAGGATGGACGTATCTTCAGAGGAGCAGTGCTTAACACACACAGCTCACCCACGCTCAGTGAGGACCCAGAACTGGGCATCTCTGCACTGGAAAACGCACAAAGACAGTGTGAAAGCCTCCTGGGAAGGAAGTTGTTTTTATTACAAAACACTGCAGGGACAGTTTTTAGCCATGCTGCCATTCCAAGGCAGGAAAGAATGGCCTCAGGTGAAATGGAACTAAAATTTGCAGTATGACCCCTCACCCCCGCACACACGCCATAGCTCCTCTTCTTCCTTCCAAGGTCAGATAGTGATGCTGTATGGGCACGAGGGGTACCATCTGCTCGGATGCCGAGGCACCCACATACAGCTCCTTCCCTAAGCACGCTGAAGGAGGGGACACCCTCTCAACAGCGGTTGTCTTCTTTTTGTGATGCTGGGAACCCACCCCGACCTCACAGCTGCCCTTGGCTAAGTCTTCTGGGCCTTTCTGTTCCCACCACCTTCAGACCCAAGCCTGAGTGTCGGGGATATGGATTTTTGTTCCTAAGGAAGGGAGCTTTGACTACCAGTTAAAAAGCCCGAAGCCAACAATCCTTCTTTGATTAATTCATATAATCAACCCTTCAGCGGCGGTTTATAAATCTTACATGACCTGCCTCTCCAGCCCGGCTGATGTAGAGTCAGGTTTCAACGGAAAAGAAAAAAATAAAAAAAACCAACCCCTAAACCCCAATCAGTATTATTCATTTTATTTGTGATTCCCACAAACAAACAAAACAGCTCCTTCCTACAAAAATCTAAATTATGCTCATGACAGAGATAGATTACCCACAAGGAAATGCTTCCACTGTCTACTTCAAAACATGTCAGCAATGCCTGAGGCCGCCGTGGTCTCACCACAGCAACTATTTCCCACCTTAGATTGACAGGGTGAAGGGAACCACAACCACCTGGGTATAGGAACCCTTAACACTGATGTTCTAAGCCAAGTGTGACAGTGCGTGTCTCTGGGTGAATATGGTTATGGGACACTCCCTTCCTTCCCCTTTTCCTAACTGTCTACCTGTGATATTTCTACAAATGTCACACACTTAGTCATTGTTAAACAGAAGAAAATATAAATGTGCTCCTTCCATTCATGTGTCTCTAATGGATTGTGGTCACTCATTCATTTGTTGAAATAAAAGAGCTATACAAATAACCATTATGTGTGTTTGAAGATGGCCCACATTGTGATCCCATATAAAATCATCATCATATGGCCTTGATCTTGTCACAAACCCTCATATAAAGGAACATTCAGACAGCAAGTATCCTATTAAAACAGTCTCCGCATGTTTTCAGAGAGCAAGAGAGGAGGTCCTGGGGAGGCTGGTCACACATGTTATTTGCACTATGTTTATCTTCTCCTGATGTCAGTGAGGTGGGGCTAGCCCACCCTCCTGAAGATGATCCCAGGAGTCCTGCCAGCTTCAGAGCAAAGGGGCTCAGCTCTGCAACCAGGAGAGAAATCATTAACAGCACCTAAGGCTTCCAGGCATTCCAGCAGTGTGCGCGCTGGCCCCCTGCAGCAGGCTGCCGGGGGTATCAATGATTAACTGGGGACATTGAGAGCATTCCAGACCTCGGGGACATAATCCCTTGGTCTTTTTCTCTTTTCTCCTCATTGTCTTGTTCCAAAGTTACCTTTGAAAGGCCTCATTAGAATAATTATTCAAAGATTCCTAAATATGCTGAAACGGGCATGATTTCATAAAGTCAAAGTGTGCAAACAAGACTTCCACAGCTCCTGGACCTAGAGCAAGGCAGGGCCTGTGACCTTGCTCAGCCCCAAGGTCTGAATGACCTGCCATGTGAATAATGGTCCTGCCACTGTGAAAGAAGCTCATCAAGCACTCCCTAACATCAGGAAAAATCGTTCAGTTTAAGGATGTCTCTATTACCACTGCCTGTCCACTATGCTGGGGCCCAAACAGGGAAGATGGGAAGCCTTGGTTCACATTCTTGGGATGCATGAGTGGCTTTCAATGAAGAAGCTGCCGTTGGGGTTTTTTATGGCCTGGGTCTTGCAGAGGATGGAGAAAGCCCACAGATGTCTAGTTCTCAGAGGACCTCCACACAGAGAACCTTACTTGACTCACAGCTCCATGGGAGAGGGATCGCAGGCCAGGCTGCTGTTGTAGAACGCTATCCCCCAAGCCTAGCAGCCATCATCTTCATTGGAACAGCTGCAAGAAAGCTTGGAGAGAACCCTGAGGTCTGGCTTTTTTCTTGTTGATGTTCCCTCACAGGAAGAGGGAGTGGAGAGGGTCATGGGACCCTCATAGCTGCCCGACTGAGCCTCCAAGCAGTCTGTATATCACTCTGCCCTAACGGCATATGGCCTTGTGCTCTTGAGAGTACACAGACTGCCAAAGGTTAATTGGAGGGGACTGCGTCTATGCAGCTTTGCAGTCTTCATCCACGCTGGGCTGAGACTTTCTGCTGGTGGGATTGCTTTAGGGTCACCGGTGCTCCGGAAGGAATCCCTCACCCATGCTCTGTAAGTAAGCCAATAAATTCACTGGTTCCCCAAGTTGGACTTTTGTGAAATCATACTTTGCTTTGTTGTTGCGTGTCCCATAAGGAAAGAGGCAGATGCTGGTTTATGTCTCCCTAGGGAAAGAGCTCCGTCATCAGCTACCTTGTGATGGGGAGGGACCTTGACGGCAGCCATGATGCCAAGTATAATGTCAGAGAGGGAGTAGAACAGCGGGTTTCCCAGCCTTCTCACATGGCGGATCAAGTGGCACATTGAGGACCACAGTTCTGGTCTCCAGTCTCAGAGGCTGTCTGCAGACCTCACTGTAAATTCCTCATTGAAGGAAAACAAGCTTTGTATAACCAGAAATGGCGATGAGGATCGATGTCTAACAGACCCTCCATCTCTTAAGAAGTGAAAGCAATGGCTGATTCTCCACTTTAAAAAAATCCAAAGGGTTCACAGAAGATCTTGTCACGCCAGAGGTGAGTCATGGGCTGTCCTCTTGTATTCAGAGTAGGACAGGATCAGGGTCATGTGATCTCATGACATCCCAGGAGAGTTAGGATAGAAAAGAGAGGACAGTGTGATGGCCAGCCTCAGTGCCTCGGTCTGGACAGACTTCCTAGTCTCTCTGGGCTGTAATTCCTTCCTATCACGGAAGAGAACATTACTCTTTGGGTATCCGGAGTTCCTTCGGTCTCTAACGTATGGTTTCAAGTGGTGACTCACTGAGTGCTTGGAGAAGGTTCTTTCCTCTCACCTCCATTTTCCTCGGGGCCCAACCCGCAGCCTGGCTGCTCTCTAATTCCTCATATGGGAAAAGCAAGTGACCACAGGAGGAATGTTCGAGAATGCAAAGAGGTTTGCCCTCACTTTTCACCATAATGAGTTTTTGGAACTGGCCCCAATGAGGGTCATTCTGAGGAGAATCATATTTTTGCCACAGTAACCACATTTAATTGGAGGTTGTGTTCTTGAACAGAAGCCCAGTATCAGATAAATCAGGGGCATAACCAACAACTGTCATAAAAATGAAGATATAGCAGTCATAATCCCTATAATAATTTTAAATAGTAAGACTGTGCTCCTGCTCCATAAAATGTCCTCAAAAATCGTTATGGCCTCAAAAGGCCTTTACAGAAAATGGGGCTCCTGAGAGCGTGGCTGGTTGGGGAGAAGACAGTGCTGCTGCTGAGCAGTCTTACCCTGGCTTGTGTCACTGTTCAGGCCTAGAATAATCTTGGAATTCACTCAGGGACTGAAGGGGACCACTCTCTTTCTTTAGAAGAAACTCTTTTAGAGTTTCTTCTAAAGTGTTGAGGGCTCTCAACGCACTCCTCATTGCCTGGGGCAGACCTTCCCAGCCTGAACTCAGAGCAGCATGCTATTGCTGACTTCATAGACCTGCCCAGATTCTAAGCCACACATCTGCCTTCTCTGAACTTGATGCAAAAAAAAAAAAAAAAAAAAAAAAAAAAAAAAAGGGATGATTCTGCAAGATGGAGAGCCTCTGTGAGTCTTCTGAT